TTTTCCACCCATGCAGGCAATGGAGACTATGAAGTGCATGGTGTTTTGCTCCCTAGCTATTGCTAGCAACACAAACAAAAAGTGCACTATATTCACGGGGAGGTCCTCGCCCGTGCACTGTGTATAGTTTATTTAGAGAGTCGGAAATACACAGCAGAGTTAGTGCAGATCAGAGGCTTTACAGTTTTACTTTTTATGCATGCTGCTGTCATCTTGTGAAATCCGGGTTTGTCTGGCTAAGTGGGAAGTCTGACTTGAGTGGGTGTTCTAGCTGTAAATTCTGACTGGGATCCTGGGATTTCTGGCGTTCTATTTCAATTAATATGCAGCATCAGCAGGCCACCCTCGCATTCAAATATGACAACTTCTAGATCCAGAAAAACAACTTGGTGGCAGCCAAAAAGCTAGCATTGAGGTTTCAGAGTGCTGAGTCCAAAACCAATGGGGGTGACATCATGGTGAGTAGGCGCATTCAACATCCACCCAGCTATCCATATTTTTTTCCACTTATCCAATTTAGGGTCCCAGAGCTGCAACCTGCCCCAGCTGTCATTGGGTGAGAGGTTGGGTGCACCCTGGGTAGGTTTCAAGTTTATTACAAGTTTATTAAGGCTCTCACAGAGAGACAGACGCCCACTGATACTCACGTTCACACTTAAACACATGATTTAGAATCACCAATTAACCCAAGGTGCTGGGAGACAGTCCACACAGGCTCAGGGGTAACATGCAAACTCCACACAGAAAAGCACCACCCAACACGTGAATTTGAATCCAGGACGTTCTTGCTGCGAGGAAAATTCGTTTTTTGAGGTTTGATCTAAGGCTCAAGACAAAGGTTTGTCTTTTTTTGTTTGTTTGTTTGTTTTAATATTTTGCATTTTCAAATAACGTGACAGGCAGCTATGTCAGGTATGCATTCCCTGTATGCCTTTATATTCTCAGTGGAAGCAATGACAGTAAGAAACAAAGTTCTAGGTCTTTATAGCTTTATTACCACTTTGACCTTGAGATTAATCTCTTGATGGAGAGGTCAGAGGTAAAATGTGACATATTTAAAACTTCACTGTCTATATCTCGAAAATACACACCAATACAAGCCAGATTTTAATGGATGGTTAACATGACCCAACTCAACAACTCTGCAAGGTTTTATCAGAATCCATTCAAAACTTTTGAGCAACCATGTTTTCAGATTGACACACAAACACTGCTAAAAGCATAACCTCTTGGGTGGAGGTATTTAAATCTGATAGGCAGGTAGTGTCGACTGAGTTTTTGTGTGTGTCTAAAGATGTTTGCTCAGTATTATGAAAATAGTGACATCCCACAGTCTGCTTGCACTCTCACTCAATTTTATTTTTTTAAGCAGTGGGTAATTTGTAATGAAACCAGCAGCTAAACAGTTATCACAAACACTGAAACCAGTTCCCTGCAGTTTGTCACAAAGCACGTCTGTGAGTTTCTGCGTCTTGATGCATTCTCAATCATCCAGGTAAGTAAATCTCCAAAAGTTGGTTCTGTTCATCTGGGCGTAGCATTTTCAGTGGGAGAAACGTTTCGTCACTCATCCAAGTGACTTCTTTAGTCTCTGCTAACCTCAGCAACAGGACCACTCTCAGCATCGAACAAGTATGTTTGCTCTTAACTGTGTCTTCATTCCACCTACTTCACATACAAGGGTCAGTTCTACAGCCAGAAACATGGGTGTGCCATGGGCTCCCCAGTTTCACCCATCATGGCCAAATTGTACATGGAAGAAGTGGAAAAAAGAGGGCTTTGCTATCCTACCCTGGAACACCACCAAGCCATTGGTTCAGATATGTGGATGACACCTGGGTGAAAATCAAATCTCAGGACGTACCACAATTCACGGATCACATTAACTCGGTGGACCGACACATCAGATTCATCAGGGAGGATATTAAAAATGGCAGGTTAGCCTTCTTAGACTGTGAGATTTCCATCAGTAATGGGGGACATCTAAAAGCTGACGTGTACCGTAAACCTACGCATACGGATCAGTATTTAAAGTTTGACTTTCATCATCCACTGGAGCACAAACTGGGTGTCATCAGGATGTTACAACACAGAGCGAACACCATCCCCTACTGACACAGCGGCCAGGGAGGCAGAAGAACAGCACATCAAGAAGGCCCTGAGTAAATGTGATTATCCCAGCTGGACTTTTGTCAAAGCTGGGAATGCACCTAAAGAAAGCTCCAGCCGATCCAGGAGAGAAGGACAACCGCTGCTCACGCGAAAACCTGCAGTGATCCCATATTGAGATGCATTTTTTCTAAACACCAGGTCTCTGTGGCTTTAAAACCCTAAAACACACTGCACCAAAAATTGGTCCACCCCAAGGATCGGGTCACCCGACACTAACAGAGTAACATAGTGTACGCTGTTAAGTGCCAGGAGGATTGCCAGGATTTATACATCGGGGAAACCAAACAACCTCTGGCGACGCGAATGGCACAACACAGAAGAGCTACCTCGTCAGGCCAGGACTCTGCAGTCTATTTAGACCTGCAGGCCAGTGGAGGATTTTTCCATGATGAGGATGTAACATCCTGGACAGGGAAGAACGCTGGTTTGAGCGCGGAGTCAAGGAGGCCATTTATGTGAAAAGGGAACGACCATCTCTGAATCGAGGAGGGGGCCTAAGGGTACATCTTTCGCCATCTTACAATGCTGTGATTGCAGCCATTCCCCAACTCTCTGTGAATGGTACTCATGGTTATTGATCAGTGGTTGTTGATCAATGGTCATGAGAATTTGCATAATTATGATGAAGGAACTGACCTCACTCTACCTCATATACTAGCTTTATACTATCTAGAGGTTAGAAAATCATCCTTGCTGCTTGTAAACTATCTGCATGTATCTTGATTTGCTGAATTCAGATGTCTAAGTCCATAAAAAAAACAAAACAGTGACCATAGCATCACAAAACAAGTTATTATGAGATTGTAAGTAATGATTTTCTCTGTGTTGAACTGCTGCACCCAATCCTGCTGTGTTCCTCCACCTGCCAAATCCAACTTTAACCTCTGATCACTGTCCTATTTTTCTGCTGCAGAAGGTAAAAGTCGCTCCATAGGCTAATTGAGTTGTTTAAAACCAAACAGCAGACATGCTTAGAAACTCTCTGCTGAACATTTGAGTACATAGAGGCTCTACAGCCTGTTTCTCTCTCCTCACTAGCTTGTGGAAAAGAAAACAAATGCTTGAGTTACATTCATCAAGTGGCTATTAAAATGAATGAATAATGATCTTGGACTGTAGCTGCTGCAAACAAAGTGTTTAGCATCAGATTACCAGTCTGTCAGTGTTCACAGCTTCTTTTTGCTGCGCCCAAATGCCAAATTAAAACAAGATTGGAGCTTTGAAGACTTTCTTCTACTCATGCCTTTTGTTTGCTAATGCAGCTGCTTTTCTGTGACTATCAAAATCCCAGATGAAATCCATCGCAGCCCTTTTTCAGCATACCTTATGCTTGGTTTTATTTGAAGTTTGTACCATTTCAAAAAGCACTGGCAAACTGTAGAAAAAGAGTGTCAGAGCTCATGTGAGATCGTCCGTGACTAAAGATCAGTGTGTATTTGCTGCAAGCAACCAAACTGTCATCAGGTATGAACGCAGAAGGAAATTCCTACTAGGGTGACATCATTATCTCCATTACTGCTATGGAACCAGACATGCCACTATCCTCCCCTGCTTGTATTCAAGGCAAAACAGTGTGAGAGTGAGGAGTGTAACAATGCTCAGTCTTATCATTTTCACGTTTTGCTATTGACCAGCTTAAACATAAACATCAGGGTGAGGTAGTTTTCTTGGCTGGCGGCCATGAGCTGATGTAAGAATACATCTGACGCTGCAGAAGAGTCATCGAGATAAAGAGCAGCGTTTGACCTGGACACAGCTCTCTTGACATGGACACAAGACTTAAAAATGACT